TGCGGGAGCGTGAAAGGGTTAGGGGTGTGCGAGGAAACCCACCCTGGCTTCCCGGAAGGCCCCTCTCCTTCCCTCCCTCCGCGCCGGGTGCGCCTCTTCCTCCCTCCTCCCGGAGCCGCTGTCCAGGGCGGTGGTGCTGATGCTCCAGCCGCGGAAAGGCTCTCGGGCGCAGCGCCCGCCCGGTTCCGACCCCGAAGCTGAAAAAACGCCGGGCTGAAAAGACGGATGGCGGGGTGGTGGTGGGGGGAAGCGGCTTTTGCCGGAGCTCAGAGCATTTCCTCTCCTGGACTACAAAGCCCAGCGTGCCTGCTGCTTCCCCCAGGAACTTTGCCCCGTTCCAGGAGCGGGGGGGGGGTCAAGGGAGAGGCTGCCCTTTCTGACAGCGGCGCTGGACGGGCTGTGGGGCCACCACGGAAGGGGCCAGGCGCGGCCGGTGATGGAGGAGGATGGGCGTTGTAGTTCTCCAGCAGCAGGTTCCCCAACCCCGCTGGGGTGGGGCGAGGTGGCAGGAGGGCTCCTGCTTCCTTCGTATGCAGGGGGGACCCTTCCCCCCCCCGCGATCCCACCTCCCCCAGCCCTCAAACGCCCCAGCCTTCCTTCTCCCCGCCGGGCAGCCACGCCGGGGTTTCCGCGGGTGTGTGTGGGTGTCCCCTTCGCGCTTCCCTTTCAGGTCTCCCCCTTGCTTGCCCGCCCCAGGTCCCGCTGCTACAGGGGGCGCCTGGCGCTCCCTCGGCTGCCACTTGCAGATGCCCTGGACCCGCCCTGCCTGCTGCTGATTGGTCTCGCAAGTGGTAGAACGACGTCAATTTTCCAGAAGACGAGGCTGAGGTCACGGGAGGCTCTCTGGCGCCCCGTTGCCTCATGGGAGCTGTAGTCCTTGTCATGGAGGCCGCTGGCGAGTTGAGCTCTTTTTTTATTTTTTTCTATTTTTTATTTTTTTTATTAATACAAAATAAACCTACTACTACATTAAAAAAACCCTATATAAAATACAAAACAAAACAATACAATGAAATACAATTACCCATGTGCACCCATCACCTTCTGACATCACACTTCCTTCCATCCATTTTCCCTCCCAAATTTCATTGTTTCTTCCCTCGGTGTAAACCCCCTCCGTCTCCGAAATACATGTTCCAAAAATACATTCCATATTTTCTTAAAATCGTTAGTTTTCATTTGGCCTCTACTTATTTTGGTGAGTTGAGCTCTGCTGCCGCTTGTCGTTGGCTCCCTCCCTTCTCCCTCCCGGGGCTTTGATAGGCCCGCTCTGGACATCTGAGTGATTATTAGTGCCAAATCATTAGTGATCTGTTTAGTGGTTAAGTCATGTCCAACTCTTCCTGACCCCATGGACCAGAGCACGCCAGGCCCTCCTGTCTTCCACTGCCTCCCGGAGTTGGATCAAATTCATGTTGGTCAT